CTTTCCCTGTCTTTGTTTCCTTGGCTTGGTGTCTCTGCAGCCTCACCTGACCTGCTCTTCTGGCTATCTCTTGGCTAACATCAGCAAAAAACCTAAAGCAGCAACTTTGAAGGCTTTAAGCCACAGCTGTTAATTCAGTTGCTGACAGTCTCCTGCTCACAGGGTTTTATCTTGTGCCTCTTTGAGTAGGAGGTTTTTCCCTGTCCTATATCTGGTATAGCTCAATGAATCTCTGATCTGCAGATAAGAAAACAAGATGCTGCTGTAATACTGAGTCACAAATGTTGCTGCCCTGTTCAGATAAGCTACGTAGCAGTGGGACAATATTACTTAGATCCTAAGCTAGTAAGAATATTGTCTGCCCTCTGGGTTTTGCAGGTGTTGTGGATTTCATCACTGACTCCTGTAGGCTGTAGGAGCCACTGAATTTGAGTTGTGGAAAACAGGGCTGTGTCCTGTTAGAATTGCAAGGCACTCCTGTTAATGATTCTCTTGTCTCTGTTTCCAGTTCTGGCATAAAGCATGTTTCCACTGCGAGACCTGCAAGATGACCCTAAACATGAAAAACTACAAGGGCTACGAGAAGAAGCCGTATTGCAATGCGTAAGTCTGCTACCTGCTCTGGTTACCGCAGAGAACGAGTTGGGCCTGTCACTTGACGCGTGAGCCTATGAAATGCTGTAGCAGTTGGGCCCACCTCCCTTGCAGTTCTCTTAGATTTCAGGATGGGAAAACTGGTGCTTAAGAGGGGAGAATCCTGACCTTGCTCTGGGGAAACAATCTTTCCCCTTTGCTTTACAGTATTTCCTGGGAGCAGATGTGAAGCCCTGACTGAAGGCCTTGCACAAGCTAATTAATGCCTCTGCCACAACGGTGAACGTTTTCCAGGCTTAAATGCCAGGTCATAGCCACTGTTTTGGGTTCTAGCTTGGGCAGACACAGGGGTGGATACAATTCAAATGCAGGCAGGCATTTACATGGAGTTTACATGTGAGTTCCCTTAAAGAAGGGAAAATGAGAAGGTGCTTATACCATGCTAACAGAATACAACTAGCTAGGAACAGAAGTGCCTGTTGTGCAGTGGGGATGTGTGAAACATGGGCATCTAACTGAAGCCTGTGTTCTGCTGGGGTGTTGGGGTCATGACCAAGTTGATTAATGCTAATCTAGTGGCACTTGCCCTAGATGGTGTAAAAGTAAATGCCTTTGTCTTGGATGCAGCTCAAAGGTAAGAACCTTCTCTCCTGAGCAGAGAATGGGGAAGATGGAGGTAGAGCTGGGTAGAATGAGAGCAGCTGGCTGTATTGCACCTCAATTAGCTTCCCCTGATCTTTCAAGCTGCTTATGAATGATGTGTCTTCACTGGCTCCTGCAATTTCCTCCTCCTGTCAAGAAGGACCCTTAACTGTACAACAGTAGGAGATCTCTGCTGACAAATAGACTTTTTGATCTGAACAATAATGGATGATTCAAAGTACTCAACTCTGAAGCTATGTTGTTACTCTGGGAGACCTTAAATGTGACATGCAGCACTGAGTTTGTTTAGACAGGAAGCTTTGCATTTAAAAAAAAAACTTCAATGCTGCTTTTGTCTTAGATTTTTTTTCTTTAAAGTCCTCCTTAGTTCCTCTGCAATTGATGATCATTGGAGTTTGGAACGCTTAAAAGCCAATCCAGTTAACTCATTTGTCTAAGTTAATGACAATAGCTTTCTAGTTTTTCTGTTGTATCATGAAAGCTAGTCCCTGCTGAATCCATAGGTAAGTAGAACTCGATGCTCACTTGACAAGTTTCTTGATGTCTATAAAGCTACTTTGTAGTAGGAGATCTTTGTAGCTGCTGCTTATACATTGTCTAATTTCTTTTGAAGAATTTAATACTACTTAATGCTTGTATAGCATGTTCCTTTCACAAAGTGCTCTTAAACATTAATCCTGGCAATGTCCTTGTAAGATGAGTATTAACTCTATTAATGGATGAGACGGGATAGAAGAAAAAGTAGCAAGACTCCCTCTGTCATCTAGTGCCTTAGCAAAACTTCCAACTGTTGCAGCTTTTCTGTACTATAGTTGTTGCTGATTCCAGAAACCGATTGTGACATGTCCAAGATAGTTGAAACTTCTGTGATCTGGGATGAGACTTGTTAGTATTGGCTGTGTGATGGGATCTAATCTGAGGTGCAGGATGGCAGTGAGGTGGGATGTAGCAAATAACTCCTAGGAGTTCTAAAATAGTCTAGGTATCTGTTTCCAAAGCAAAACTGGAAACTTCATGGAATAAGAGTAGTATGTGTGTGGCAGGGGAAACATGCAGTCTGAGTCTCTCTAATTGGAGAATGACAGCTCTCCAGCGTTTGTACTCAGACTATCCAGGTCTCTAAAACTACTTTTGTGACCGACCAGCTTGGGGTCCGTGAGCTTGAGATTCCATTCCAGCAAAGCTAAAAGACCACGGATTATGAGTACAGGGCTCCTACAGTTGGAGCCCTGCATGATTTTTCATCTGTCTTCTATCTGGGTGGGGAGAAGCTAGTTGTGAGCAGCAAGACTGCTGGTAGCTGCCTGTAATGAGCCGACTCCAAACTGGACAGGAAGCAGGTCTACTCCCCCAAATACTGAACACAGGGCCCTTGAGTGGATGCTAGCTGACTGTTAACTGTTTTGGAGATGTTCCTAAAGTTTCCTTGCCAGGTAGCTAGAGGAAAAGATAGGATAAGGCATCTTTCTAACCATGATTTGCAAAGGGCTGCAGGCTTTGGAGGAGATAAGACACCCTGAGCGCATCTTAGTGTCCTGAGACAATGTTGTCTTCTCTAGATCAAGTGCATACCACTTCTAGATCAAGATTCTCTAGATCAAGTGATACCACCTTTGATAGTGAGCCTGCACTGAGGATTGGATGTCCCTAGTGCTGTCTGTGGCCCTAAGGATGGGCCTGGAGTTCTGTTCTTGTGCTGTCTCCCTTCCATGCTGGTGAAAGGGAAGTGGGATAATAATGGGAAATTCCTGAAATTCCAAGGAGTGTGCGCAACCCTCAACCCATCTCAGTTTCTCAACCCCCTCTGCTCAAGAACTCCCTTTGAAGCAGGCTTGCTGTCTTAACCCTTTAGTGGCCTCCAAGCCTCCCTGAAGAGGGCAGCTGTCTGCCTTGACTCTACCCAAGGTAGTCCTGGATGTTCCAATTGTGGGTTGAGACCTACCTTAAATGCTTTGTTCTTCCTACCTTGGGTGGCCATGCCTTCAAAAGTAAAAGGAACTGCGGGGAGGGGGAGCGAGCTCAAATTTGTGGGCGCGTGAGGCCTGTCTCTGGCAGCTGCAAGCCCCTTGCCTGCTGGGGGGAGGCTATGCAACTGCAGTGCCCAGTCATGAGGTAAAGCGAATCTACAGCCAGGGAACTTGGGCTTGGTTCCTTCTCAGCTGCTGTCCTTGTAGCTGGAGCATGTGACTGCCCCCCCCCCCCGCCCCCACCTCTCCCTCCTCACAGTCCGAAGACG